TCAACTCTTATATAACTTTAGCTCATTAAGTTTTGCTGGTGAGTTTTTGGGGAAAAAAATGTGAAGTGTTGCTACAGATTCAGAACTGCTTTATTTACAAGGTAATTTAAACAAACGAATATACAGTAAACCGTGGGAATTAACTTATGTTGTGTAATGGGGTTGTCCTAAATTTCTTTTTTTACAATTCAAAGTTGCAGCCTCTAACAAGTTTTCTGTCCTGAATTTTAATTTTAACTACATGCATCAATTAACCACTCTGTAAAGAAGTCAATCATTCTCACAGGATGATTTTTCAAGTACCAAGCTGAACCACAGGGGACTTTTTCAGGTGATGCATAGTGTTATTTTTTGCAAACTGGAGCTTTTTGCATATGAGCCTTGGTCTCAGTGACCAGAAAACTTTCCTGTACATGTTCTCATCCATTTATGTCATTATAGATACTTGACTTTCTTGTTGTAGATGCACATTAGCAAAATGTAAAACGGTTAAATGATATTAATACACTGGATACTTAAGTAATAATGTATTCTCCCATCAAACTCAATAACTCAATGTTTAAATGCTGTGTTCAATTCTGGGTAGGAGACTTTTTTTTTTTCTTTACAGAAACATATATGTATTTTATGAGGCCACTGCAGGCAGGCAGTGCCTGCTTACATCTATAGTGAATCCAAATCAGAAGCATTAAATATTGGGAATAGCTTGGGAAGGTCAGGAGGCTCCCTGGTGTAAACCCCACCCCCCCAATCTCTGTTCCAGCTCAGATCACACAACAACAAGCCTTGTGACACGAGGGAAAAGCAGCACCAGGCTTCCACAGCATCTCCCCTCAGAGCCACTATTGTCAAAGGGCTCTTTCTCAAGCTATCCAACACCATGGAAAGCAGGGGATCCTGTTGCGCATCCCCCTCACTCAGCTCAGGAAGCCAAACGAGGGGTGGAAAGCTTTTAGGGCTTTTTTCAGTGAGCTTGATCACCTGATACAGCAGGGCTATACACCTTTCAGGCAGTACAGAAGCTGTTGTCATGGACTTTTCCACTTCTCCACTCTCATTGGGCTGCATTGTTCCTGCCAGCTCCAGCAATATAATGCACAATGAAGCCATAGCAAGCCTCTTCCCAGAGATTTTCCCCAAGAAATCGTACGAAAAAGATCTACTCACAGAGCTGCAGAAGGAGGCTGATCATCATCATTGAGAAATAAATATTCATCAGTTAAGGGACTGAGTCAGATAAAACAGAAATATTCTCAACAATATACAGTACATTAATAAACAATAATAAAATAATTCAACAAGACTACACTTAAATACCCAAAACCATAGGGAATCTAATGAAAGACAAGCGAAACTAATGCAAGACAAGCCAATGACGAGAAAAAAAAACTCAAACAGTTATTTGACTGATACCGAAAACATGCTTGCTTGTTTCAAAAACAGGATATTCCCTCCAAAGGAGTAAGTTTATAAAACATAGCTCCTAATGTGCTCTTTAAATGGCTGACTTCCAGTTCGCTCCTCAATGATTTGCAGTAAGCCACATCAAGCTGGAACTCCGCTGTGGGTTTCTGAATGTGGTTTTTAAATGCTAAAAAGCAACTCTAATATTTCACTGTGGCTTAGAAGGGCCCGAGCTAGAGTAGGCACCATTTTAAGCCTTATAGTAAATCAAGCCACAATTTGAATATGTGAACTTAAACAGAAGAAACAGCTGTTACTAAATACTTGTTTACAAACTGAAACATTCAATGGTCCGCAAAGCCAGAATACTGCATGGAAAAATCCTACAATTCCCAAAATGCTTTAAAATGTTTGTTTGATTATTCTTGGCCAAATCTTTTCTTTACAAAGTTTGCTCATCACTGAAACACATTTGAAAGAAGATTAGTTATGCTTATGAGTTACTGAGCTTTAAATGCAAAGTGAAAAATTTAATTATTTGAATCTCTGAATAAATGTCTAAACTAATATGAAATAATCATCTTTACCTCAATGCAAAAATAAAAAAGGGCAAATTAGATGATCAAAAATAACTCATTACAAATCATTTCTTGCAAACAATTTAAAAGTATTTTAGGACAGACTGACAGTTTTTTCAAGTTAACTACTGACCTCAATTCACCCAGCAGAGTAAACAGTTTGCTTTCAAGTTGCCATAGATAAGAAAAGGTTGTGTTGGTGTGACGTCATGTGTTAAGGATAAAAGTTTTAACAGCTGGCATACCAGCTCAAAATCTCCCTAAAAAAATGCAGCTTTTATTGAGAAATAGAGCCATTATTGTGCTAATTGTTAAGGAAGTCACATCCGCACACGTAACTAATATTACGCAACTGTAAAGCTGCTCTCGGTGCAAAACTCAAACTATTGAATTAAACTGTCCCCATAACTCTTAAGAAAAAATTTGAAAACAAGATAGCAACCACCCCATCAGCTTTCTCAGCAACAATACAAACTTTAAACTGTTAAAACAAATTAATTATGAAATGAATATTTTTTTTTTATTACAAACAAAATATGGTGAGTCACCAAAGTTTAGAGAGTCTGCATGTAGCTGAAGCCCATAGGATAAAACGCGGAGCAACCAATTGCCTTAATAAGTTATCTAATTGGTGGATTGCACTTTTGTGTCATTTGATCTGAGTGTAGTTATCTTCTTTCTGAAGGCCTCAGAGATAAGAGAACAATAGAGAACAAATAGCATCATGAAGACAGGGGGACGCAGCAAAGGGCCTTGAGATTGTTAACTAATTACTCTTTTAAGTCTCGCAGAGCAATGTTCAAGCCATCATTGAAACATGCAGCATGAGGGTAAAAATTCAGATGTTTTTGTTGACCTAAACTGACAAGAAAGCATTAATCAGTCATATAATTATGGGGGCAATGGCGACTCAGGAGGAGCTGCAGAGATCTATGGCTCAGGAGGATAACAAAAAGGTTTCAGTTGTGCAATCTACAAATATGGGCTTTATGAAATCATAAAAAGAAGAAAATCGTGAAAAAATTGGTGCTGTTAGAATAGTAGTTTTAGTTATCAATCAACCAACTAGGGAGAAAAGGCTCTTATTGTTGGGAACCAAGTGGATATTTTTTGCCAAGATGCAACATATGATGGGAAATTAGGACTGCTAAGCCCCTGAACGCATCATTGCATATTGATGGCAGCATCATGCAGCAGGAACTGATGATAAAATGGATCTAAAACACAGGTATTCCCGAGTAAACAGCTCTTGAATGGCAGGAAAAAATGTGTACATTCACCTTCCAATATGAAAACGACCAACTATACAGCCAGGGCTATAATTAAATAAATATGTTTAAGGAATAAATATTTCAGATTCTAGATGTATGAAGCTTGTTGAAACCTTCAGCTATAAATGAAACAAAAGGTTGTCCTATTAAGATTTGATCCAAGGGTGGGGATGGATGGCAAATAAAAAATGTGCATCAAACTTTTTAAGGATTTTCTTTTTTAAGAATATTTTGAGATTGCTGAACAGTATTAGTTTCATCTCACTATAGATGTAAGCAGTGTTGCTCCATTCATATAAAGGACATCTGGAAAACAATCCTAGTAAAAATTAGCTCTAGTGCACAACACAATGGTCTTATCACTTGTTGTGAAAATGTCTTGATTGGTCTTGCATGCACCAGGGTCTGGGATTAATACAAAAGTTCAGACTAAAGTTATTAATGTCAGTAATGACGGTCCAAAGTTTTAGCGAAAAGAAATCGCCTTAGCATCCACTTTCACCCAGTGGACCAAATTCCAGAACAGTTTAAGAAAACTCCCAAAGCTTTGAGTGACGGTCCTTTCAACAAGCAATGGATCCAAAAGCATCCCTTCTTTATCTCATGAACCTGACCTTCTCAGCCAGCTGCTTTCTAAAAAAAAATACTTGATTGTTTTTAGGTTCAAACCTTTGATTATTTATCCAACTTTATGTCACGTCCAGAGTTTAAAAAATGTCTGGAATTCTTTTAGCAACCACAAAAGGTCAAAAAAAATTTCTTTCGTTTCTTTCTTTCTTTTTTTTTTTTGTACGTTGTCATTTACATGTTTTGTCATCTGCTGGGACCGAATGCATGAGATCAAGTATGCAAGCATAGCTGAAATAGCTTGTGATGAACTTTCCCACAACATTTTTTCTTTTTAATTCAATGAAGCCTTTCCAGATGCCCTGGTCTCCCCCTCTTTTTGTTGGAAGGGTAAATAGACTAAGCATAGATTACAAGCAGTCTTAGAACCCAAAGTCTATACTTTACTTCTAGTTTACTATGCTTGGAAGCCAAAGGTTAAAGCATTGTTCTGACACAATGCCATCATTTTTTTGTTGAGATGATCTCTGAATGGCTCCAAACTGCTGTATAACATAATGCCAAATATTTTTAACAACTGACCTTTGAAGCCTATACATTCCCTGCTATAAAAATGTCAAAGCTCTCCGTTCCCTGCTTTTCCCGTCACATGTAACAAACCATCCACAAACCCTTTTTAGGGCACCTTCTGTTGTATCAGGGAACAACAATCCAGTAGAAAAGGAAAATAATTCAGTTTGTTAGTTTTGCAAACTGGCCCATTGCAGTTAAAATAAATAGTTCAAATAATGGAAAGAAGGGGAAATAAACTAATGTCAACTGTGTTTCTCTGTGAATTCCTGTCCAATATACTGGCTACATATGCTTGACAGATTTATTTTCAGATGGAAAGTGCTCCAGGTACCCAGAAAATATTCTTGGAGCCCATCTTCAATATAAAAAAAAAATAAAAACAATCAGGAAATAAAACAAATAAATAAATACCAATTATTAACAGAAAAACTACAGAAAGAACAATTTGTTCGAGCCCTTCAAATACATTTCGAGTAGGCTATGAGAAGATTCATGTTATTACAAGAGTAAAAAGGTATTAGTCACCTAAATGGAAAATATAAATGAAATCAGGAAAAGGAAAATCTGTGTTGACTGTAATATTTATAAGCAAATGTCTGAAACCAACCTGAGACTGTGGCCTGGAGACACGGTTATTTTTTTCCTCTGGTGACCATGAGCGCAGCTGCACACTGTAAAATATAGACAAAAATAAGTCTCTAATGCAGAACATTGCCTTTGAGGTTACAATAATATTGTGCCTTGTAAATCATAAACATATCCAAGATTTGGCCATATCAGAGTCATAATATTCAGGGAAAGAAACCAAAACAAGTTGTTTGAATAAAGAAAAAAATATTGCAGACATGCTTCTGTTGGCAGCATTACGCTGTGGGACCCTAGTCAGGGTTTATGGTAAATAGATGGAGATAAATTAGGGTTGTCCAGATACAAACTTAATGTTATTCCTCAGGAAAACATTCTATACTTGATAACAATTTTCATACCATAGGGATGAAACATAATTATAATAATAAAAGGACATAAAAAATATTTTTATTAATATTAAAAACTTGTTAAACTCAACATCGAAAATGTTTCTCAACAGAATCGTAGTTGCTATTTAAATATGTATTGAAATAAATGCAAGATGATTGAAAAAATTGTCACAATATTTATTTTACAGTATTTAAGGTTCTCGAATGTATTATTCTGTTATTGTGCAGGGGTTAAGCAGCTGCTGTTACGGGTTCGATTCTCGGGAGGTTGACCTCTAAAGCATGTCTTCCCCACTCTTTCAATACATCCCTGCATACTTAAAAATAAATAAATGAAGGCCATTAATACTTTAAACTTCTGATGAGGAAATACAGAAATACAAATTACTGAATACCATTTTGAGTTGCTGCAATGAAATTCCAGCAAAATGAACTAGCTTGCCGTATAATTTTTTCACTGTAATTTTTGGGGTGTCAATTGAATTCAGCCCTCTGTAGGTTGATAATTTTCCATCAAATGATGTGGCATCCTTTTGTTCCTAACACATCACCCAGTCTATATAAGTATAAATAAACAGCATGTTTTTTTTTGCCCCATTGAGATCTGATGTGTTTTCCAAGTGTTCCTTTAATTTTTTTAAGCAGTGTACTAGCTATACCATTTCAAATTAGTATTGTATCCAGCTACAGGGTTTTATTACAGATACTTTGTTTTGACACTTTTTACAAGCATATGCTTAATATTCTGAAAGAACATACACTATATTGCCAAAAGTATTTGCTCACCCATCCAAATTATTGGAATCAGGTGTTCCAATCACTTCCATGGCCACAGGTGTATAAATTCAAGCACCTAGGCATGCAGACTGTTTTTACAAACATTTGTGAAAGAATGGGTCGCTCTCAGGAGCTCAGTGAATTCCAGCGTGGAACTGTGATAGGATGCCACCTGTGCAACAAATCCAGTCGTGAAATTTCCTCGCTCCTAAATATTCCACAGTCAACTGTCAGCTGTATTATAAGAAAATGGAAGTGTTTGGGAACGACAGCAACTCAGCCACGAAGTGGTAGGCCACGTAAACTGACGGAGCGGGGTCAGCGGATGCTGACGCGCATAGTGCGAAGAGGTCGCCAACTTTCTGCAGAGTCAATCACTACAGACCTCCAAACTTCATGTAGCTCAAGAACAGTGCGCAGAGAGCTTCATGGAATGGGTTTCCATGGGCGAGCAGCTGCATCCAAGCCATACATCACCAAGTGCAATGCAAAGCGTCGGATGCGGTGGTGTAAAGCACGCCGCCACTGGACTCTAGAGCAGTGGAGACGCGTTCTCTGGAGTGACGAATCGCGCTTCTCCATCTGGCAATCTGATGGACGGGTCTGGGTTTGGCGGTTGCCAGGAGAACGGTACTTGTCTGACTGCATTGTGCCAAGTGTAAAGTTTGGTGGAGGGGGGATTATGGTGTGAGGTTGTTTTTCAGGAGCTGGGCTTGGCCCCTTAGTTCCAGTGAAAGGAACTCTGAATGCTTCAGCATACCAAGACATTTTGGACAATTCCATGCTCCCAACTTTGTGGGAACAGTTTGGAGCTGGCCCCTTCCTCTTCCAACATGACTGTGCACCAGTGCACAAAGCAAGGTCCATAAAGACATGGATGACAGAGTCTGGTGTGGATGAACTTGACTGGCCTGCACAGAGTCCTGACCTCAACCCGATAGAACACCTTTGGGATGAATTAGAGCGGAGACTGAGAGCCAGGCCTTCTCGTCCAACATCAGTGTGCGACCTCACAAATGCGCTTCTGGAAGAATGGTCAAAAATTCCCATAAACACACTCCTAAACCTTGTGGACAGCCTTCCCAGAAGAGTTGAAGCTGTTCTAGCTGCAAAGGGTGGACCGACGTCATATTGAACCCTATGGATTAGGAACGGGATGTCACTTAAGCTCATATGTGAGTCAAGGCAGGTGAGCAAATACTTTTGGCAATATAGTGTATATATTGGGAAAGCAAAAGTCTAAGCTGGTACAGGGCTCGCCTTCCATCAGAACACAACCCTAAACATATAGATCCTTGCAGTGGAAGAGTTTACATCAAAGCTGATTCTTGCATTTTTATGCCCCACTCAAAGTCCAGACCTCCCAAAACTGAGAATCCTTTGCACGACTTGGAAAAGAATGCTTTCATCTACAATAAACCCTAACTAACTGAGCTTTAGCTATTTTCCGAGAAAGTGAGACAAAAGAATTTGCCTCATTATACACAAAGTTGTGAGACAGGCACACAGAGTTCAAGATTTAGCTGCAGTTTAACAGTATTGAGTCATGCAGGAGGAACACCAATGCATGCAACAGTTTTTATATTTTAATTATTTATTAGAAGCACTGCAAAGTTTAGGGAAATAAAAGCTATTAGAGAAACTTTAATTCTGAAAATATTCACTTGTAATTTGACTTGTTTAAGAACATATAATGCACTAGAATAATTTGCTAAACATTTGTCTAATTAGTCATCCTTAAATTTCCAATAGTGATGCTTTGTTTCCATCTTTTACTAAAGGAACCATACAGAGAACAAACGCTTTAAATCTATTGACTATCTTCAGATATCTGGCACCACATGGTGCCAAAAAAAATCAATAAGATAAAAAAGAAGCGGAGAAACTTTAATTAAATCAAAATGGATGATCAAATACTGTTGTGGGCTGAAATGTTCATGAGTCCAGACAAAAGCAACAAACTGCTTCCAATAAAAATTGGCTGGGAGTAAAAACAACTGCAGTGCACACTCAGAAATAATGGTGAACATTCCCTATTCTGTCTTTTGTTAAAGTCATTGTAAAAGGAGGAATGCGATAGCTGTGCATATCTTTTGTTACAACAGTACAACCCCATGGCCCCACTTTCTGTGTGTCACTCACATACCTATTGACTCGCCCAATGTGGAGACACTTGGTGCTGTCCTTTGTCTAAACACAGGTCTGTGTCTGAATGCATAGACTGGCTTCTAAAAGGCTCTCAGTTCACTTTGCTTCTTTTAGTCAATTTTTAAGAAGCTACACCTTCAGTCTTATTGCCTGAACTCTTTTCTAAGCAACCTTAACAGGAGTGTGTAACTTCTGAAATGTAATATTCTGTTCTACAAGCAACACTGACAAAGGACTCCTAAACTGGTCATTAGTTCCCACCATTCTTGTTTTAACTTTAAGCAGAAGCAGGATATGAAGGAATAATTATTGTGATACAAATCAAATGTGCAAAACCCCTGCATCTGTGAACATGATACAATGTTCCACACTCTAAAATGTTCAGTAATAATCAGAGGAGCTACCTCTTATTTAAGGTTGGTGTCAGTCTTTCCCCTCTTCTGTCGGGGCTGGCAGTAGAATATGATGAATAGGGTCCTGGGGACATTGACGTGGGACTGGAGATTTTATATTCTCTATAGTTCTGGTTCTCGTCACGACTCACTATGACTGCCTCCTATGCACAAAAAGAGAAGGAGGTTAAAACATGATTTCAAGTGTCTTCTGTGTAACTTGGTCTGCCCTAAATCAAATATGTTACTGTATCAGGATGAGGGGATCAGTAAAAGTAACTATTAATATAATGCATGTATTAAAATTTATTTTTAAATTTTTTTAATAACTTTTAAGTGTAGTACTCTTGTGGGTGCAAACATTTAAACTTTTGATTTTATATCATCAAAGCAAATAAAATGTATGAAAAGTCCCTCAGAGCTTCAGAGCTGACCTGGAAGCGTCCAGTTAGCTGTTCAGGTGTGCTGATGCCGTTGGACTGTTGAGGGCTGGGAGGTTCAGGTCTAAAAGAGAGAAAAAACATATCATTCTGGTGAGTTTTAAAGGTACAAGCCAAAAATGTATTTCACAGAGTATCCTGGTTAAGGTCCTCACATTACAGCTGTATTAAAATGTAATGTAAGGCAGATGTAAAAAAAAAAAAAAAAAATATATATATATATATATATATATATATATATATATATATATATATATGAACAGCGATTAACCTAATGACCTAGGACTAGACTAGATTTGAAGGCCTCCACTGCTGCAAACTGCCCTCTCCAACATGGGAATTGGAACAGTAATAAATGCTTGCTTGGGTGGTTTAGCTATCAGAATTACCCCAAAGACACAAATGTGTGACTCATCTAGGATGTCAGAAATAAACCAGATTAGCATCTAAAGCATTTGTCCCAGTTAAGGTCAATCATCAGACACAGACATGGACCGTGTTCACATAAACTAACATCATTTAAGAAATAAACCCCCAGCAACAGTCAATCATGGTGGTGTTAGTATGATGGCCCTGAGCTGGTTCGGACTGCTTTGTCAATAAAAATCAGCAGAGATGTGTGATAAAGAACCCTTAGAGTGCATCAGTGTAATCAGAGTGAAAAACCTTTGCTCGGCATGAAATCATACATAAGGCAAAACACTAGAGGAGTTAGGGCATCGATAACCAATCAGAACCGGTTCTAACCTTTCAATTGTTGTAGAATCATTAAAATTCAAATTTAATTTTCCTAGTTTTGATGCCCAGTCAGCCGACCGGAAATAGAAGCCGCCTAATATGAAAGAAGCCTCAGGTGCGACTCCATAATCAGCTGTTTGTGCCCTGGCATTCCAAAGTGTGGCTTAACGCTATTACAGAAATGACCAGTTGGCTATGTGCAATACTTATATTGTATTTATATTTTACAATGGACGGAGCATGGCTGACATAATTAAACACCACCTTACTCAGGATTAGAGCCTTGTCCTTGACCTGGTGTTGTAAGGTACTTTTTTTTATCCTATTACTTTATGTCTTAACAGATACTCGTCCTGGTTCCTACAGTACATGTAAGCATTGTGGATAAAATGAAAAGCACTTTATTCTTGATCAGCAAAATTGATAAATAATTTTGAGTATAACTTCATCCATTGTTTTTATGGCTACGACTGACCATTATTTTGTTAATCGATTGTCGATTATTTTTCGATTAATTGATTAAAAATAGCAATTAGCAGGAATAGCAAAAGGTTCATTAAAGAAGTCTTTTTATTAAATGAAATCAGGTGAAACAAAAAGTTTTCCACTTGAGGAATTCTCTTTAGAGCATATTGACAAACAATTTTTTTTAGTGTTTGAATCCTAAATGCAAAATGTTTACATATCTTTTTTTTTTTTTACAAAATTGGTATAATTGATGGTCAAGGTGGGTTGCTTTGTCAGCTTAGGACATTTTTTACAGTCTCTACACTTGGGTAAATGATTAATTGATTACTCAATTTGTTGACAATTACTTCAGCAATCGATTAATCAAGTATAATTTTTTCAGCAATAATTGTTTCTTTTAGTTCATTTGTGATACAACGCTGAACAACGCTGAGGATATATATTCTGTTGGGACAAATTCCTGCCTCACCGTTTTATTCCTTCACCTCCAACAAAGCGTAGCATCAAAGTCAGAATCAGGTAAATAGTGTACATGAAGCATCTCCAGCATTAGGGCTGCATGGCAGCATTAGACATTAGACATGTTAAAATGTTAATGATGTTTTCAATAAACGCTCCATATCATAGTGCATCTCATAAAAAAAATTCATATTAATGTTAAAGGTTTTGATATTGTTAAGCTGGTTCAAAATAACTGATTTGTAGTAATGTTTTCACAAAATTGGAAGTTCAAGGAATTAAATCTCAGAGTTGTTCAGACCATTTTATTTAGACAGAACTTTGGTTAACTAATGTAAAGAATCGTTACCGATAATAGTTTGTAACCAGAAGTGAAATCCGAACATTCAAATGTGTTCAAATTCAAATAATGTCCAAAACAAAAGCCATCAAAAAATGTAATATATATATATACGCACACAATAAGATGATAAGAAAGAAATTCAGATTTGCTAAATCAGATATTTTGTCTACCTGTAGATATCAAAATTAAAAAAACTATTACCAGTACAGAAACAGCAAAACCTGATTCAATCTTTCCAGATTCCTGAAGCTGGCAACACCAGCTCTCAGTTTACAAACTACTTCTCTTGCAAGAGCAAATGCCAAGCAGCTGCCCTGCTGGAAAATAAACGTACCTGACCGTAACAAATGATTAAAGGGCACACATTTATTTTCATTGTGTCTGACCATTATTCAAATGGCCGAATAGTTTGACAAATCACATTTATGTAGAAGACTGAGGTGAGTTTTGCTTGCAGAAAACCACATTTAGTGTGAACAAAAACAGGGTGGAGGCATTGCAGTGGCATTGTACAGGGCAGCCAAAGAGTAATGGTGTTTTGGCTTCACTGTAGACATGAGGTCAGGAGGGAAAAATTCACTCACATGGACGTGGGACATCCGAGAAGGAAGTCTGCGGAACTGTGCGCAAGTGTGTCTCTGTGGATGTTTGCATGCCATAAGAGAGGAAGACTAAGAAAAACAGCTTGATGGGAGGGGTGGATGGCAACCACGACCACGGAAGAATTTATGGAGGATCTCTAATCAAAAATGCCAGCTGACAACAGGAGACGCTTACAGGAAAAGATTTTCAGAAGCCAACCTCATGGCATTCAAAAACGGTCTCTGTAAATCCCAAAAGGCTTATTAGGAGGAACGAGGGAAGAAACAGAGAGGCTCTAAAACGTCCTGGCATTTCCCCTGATTACAATCACTTGTTTTGTTTGTACAGTGCTCGCTTGATGGAGGTGAACACAGTGCAAAGATTGTGCTTTTGGAATAAACAAACCATTTGGGATACAGGACATTTGTGGTTTTTCATGCATAAAAGAAGCAAATATGCACATCAAAAGACTAAGTCTAAAAGGTCTGGAAAAGCAGATCTGTGTTTTTATACCTCTCCACCACCAGCTGCAGAGTGGTCTTGGATTTCTTGATTTTGTTCTGGGCCTCCACATTCAGCATGTCCTCTGTGTTTTCACCATTGATTTCCAGGATGATATCGCCGGCTTTCAGGTTTGCTTGCTCTGCTTTGCTGCCTGCATTGACCTGTTCAGAAGGATAAGGTCCAGTTACTGCCCCAGGTAATCAAGATATACACCATGTGATAAACCTTAACAGGATTCTCTACATGAGTGAGTCATCCAAGGAATTTGTCATAATCAATAGAAAAGTTTGCAAATGAGAAGCTCTGTGCCCATTACATTGTTTACTAAGAAGAACATACACATAGAGTATAAATGCATTGTGTAAATCAACAGTGTAAGCATTTGTGAGAAGAAATCCTTCTTGCGACACTTATTCATGGCTTGTGAGGGTCTGACCTCTGCTAAAAGCATCATTGCTTGTAAAAGTCAATATTCCACGACCAAAAGAGATTTTCAGATTATGTGCCATTACATATTATCAGTACTTACACAGATCTCTAATAAATCAATTAAACTGATGTCAAAATAATCAGTATATCGACATAGTCTTTAAAAAAAACCTGCATCATCTGAACTTCATAACATTTTCAATGGTTTGTTTAACTACATCCAAAGTTGTATGATGCATCTCGAAATTGTCAACAGAGTAATATTAAAACATGCAGAATGCATACTGTCACTGAATGGAGTGCACTAAATGTTATGTGAATAGCACGCAATCACGCTCTCTACACCTAAAATAAATTCAAAGGAAATAGTTTTTTTCGTGTGGTATCCAATGATGAAGGTTAAGATGGTGAAACCATTGAATTACAAGTTTTTTCTAGCAGCCTACTACTCATGTTCACAGGTCCATCAGAAAGGTATCACCACTATTTGGTAATTTTTTTTATCTTTAGCAACCTATATAGTTATTGTGACACTGGTCAATAATATTGCAAGCTTTCCTACGTAATATTGCACAGCTCTAGCTACAAAATAAAAAAACAAAAGAAAACAATTTTATCTATAAAGGCAGCATGAAGTTTTGCATGACTGTAATGTAGAAGACAAATTATGTGTTTTCTATGTAAAGCATTAAATTCATTATATTTACTAAACTTTACAATTAATTGAAGTTGAAAGAATGAAATGAGTTAAGGTAGAAAGGACCAGTTAGCATTCAGTTTGTCCTTGATTTTAGACAAATGTAAGGCCAAAAGTGCTATAACTCTGGGCCACTTGAAAGGCTAACAAGTGTCGCTATGGTGACCGACAATAGCACACGTCTTCTCCAATCAAAATAAGCCTGAAATCACACAAACAAAGATCAACTAAAGGTTATTTTACAAAGTCTGGGCTACAGGGAAAGCAGAGGTAAGCCATCTTTCAGGTTTATAGAATAAAGAGGGTGTGCATGTCAACACTAAGCCAGCTCCTACAGCTTAAACTCCTTAAGATGGCGGAAGAACAAATCATGTTAAGCTCAAGTATTTTCTACGAAAGTTTTTCAAAACCTTTTCTGAGAACCTGATTATTTACCAGTGCATACATTTTTTGACAATGTATGATTTAGCATGAGCAAATGGTGAATGCTTTTACAGTTACAAATTTTTTCTTTTTATTTAAAAAGGAGCATAGTCACGTAATATTACATTTTATAACTTTAAATGCCAATAGCTCACTCTGGTTGCATATAGGTTTTTCTGAAAGGTTGCTGCATCCAGCTGGCATATATTAAATTAAGCTCTTTGTGTATATTTACTAGAATGGAGGGACCAAAAAAAATTACTTGGCGGCTTTGTAAGACCAGGATGTGCAGCAGGCAGGTGACGGTGCCACAGTTTTCAAAAAATGAGTCAGAGTAGGGTTTCCGCATCCTTTTTAACTTCACTGTCTGCTTACTCGGAAAATATCTGTTTTTCATAATCCACCACTCATATAATCTAACTGAGAATATGCATTTAGTTAAAGCATCAACATGCACACTGTACAGTGCACTACATTTAAATCTTAATAAGACTTTTTTTTCTTAAAATAAATGCATTTTTTGTTGAATTGAGGTACGTGAAACACTTTGCAAATGGAACAAGACAAATCATTGCATTTTTTTATTTCAAGTGCATATTATCTAAAGTAAATATACTAATTCCTTTGTCAAATCATCTTATTTACCTACTCACATAAACTTTAATAAAGTTAATTTAATACATGTTTACTTATTTCTAGATCGTTTTTGCAGTGCATGCAAAAAATACCCAAAATCTGATCCCAAAACATTCTCCTGTTCGGACCAAGCATTCTTCACCTTCCACCTCAGCTTCCACTGTAAGTGTAATCAGTGGTTTCCTTCTAATACAATCCACATCCACCTTATTCTAACACATCCAGTATTTAAGGAAATGGGTAGGACACACCAATAGGAAAAAACAAGCAGATAAAATGAGAAAGTTTCCACTGAATGGTATGCCATTATGAGGTGTATTTTCTTAGAAAACAGAGGATATTACCTTTAAACTAAGACAAATTTAAGTAAAATTTGTAACCCCGAGGTACCTTTGACACGGTAATGGCCGTTTTGAAGTCTCTTCCTCCATTTATTCGGAAGCCCCATGGAGCAGGCCCGCTCAAGTTCAATGTTAGTGCCATTGAAAGATCTGATCAACGGAGGCTTAGGTCCACCCCTGGGAAAAAAACAAGGAGACAACAAACATGACATTAGGTGCAAGTGATGTGCCGCACTGCAGCTTGTGTACAGCTCAACATTATCATCAGTCACACATTTCTTTCAGCATTAGATCCAATAGTGAAGACAGTAAACATTTGCACAAGCTTCTTTTATCTCAGCACCACTTCACTTTGACTGGATTCAGTCCCCTTGACGTGGATGGTGTAAATCAAACACCAAAAAGGAATGGGAAGAATCTCAAACCAAAGACACATGACTAATGTTGCACAAGTGTCTGCAGAGCGATATGCTTTCATTAACTCAAACTGCTCCTTTGAGGCAGAGAAAGTAAATAAAATCATGCAGGAATTTTGTAAACCGAGTGAAACATTTTACCTTCATCCATTTTACACACGTCTGTTTATTCAACATACAGCAGTGTAGGGTATAATGATATGGCATGCATCACATATGGTAGCATTTCAAGACACGAAAGGCTCGTGCAATGGAAACAAACTGGATTTGTTCAACAATTTCAATGGTGGGCATTTTCACTATCATTTACAGATTTCTGTAATATATTGCATTTAGATATGTTCGAAGTGCAGACATAACTTAAACTCAAAAACCCAAAAGATGGAAAGCATTAAATATAAATCATATTCGGTTTATCCTTTAGCTGTTAAAGGAGATAATTTCAAAACACTTTTCTGATAAAAACTTCTCTTTGGAGTCACTAGCTTGAAGAGAGAAATACACCCTCATGTACAGAAGATGCTGTTATGATGGTAACGACTAAAATTGCTTGCCTTTAATCACAGAATAGATGGATTTTTAAATTTAAAAAAAGGTGGTATGACCGCATATTGGTGACACACAGGTAGTGAAACCTGTTTGCTAAAGGCATTGTATTTGGAGTTTAATAAAGTGCAATGTCAGCATATAGTTAGTGAAGGATGCATTTCTCCTTGCCCACAAAAATGTCTCCTTGTGGGGAAATAAAACTTTCTGACACAGGACCATTAAGCAACTGGAATCTTTGATTTAAGATTAGTTGACACATGGGCCGCTACAGAGAGCTGAAGGAGGGATTCAACATCATTGTGACTATTAGCGTTGTTTAAAAGGAAGGTTTATCAAGCAAGAAAACATACTTTTTGCAACAACTTCCATTTTCATGCATCCTCTTTACTACATTTAATCTGCTGACATCCACAGACCACATTAGATTAATAACTGCTGTTTAAAAACAATGATGTCGCCTGTTTAGCCGTGACAACTGCTTTCAGATATGACTGTTTAATTCTCTATGTCTCAGCTGAAGGAGCAACAGTCTTTCAGTTACAATATTTTGAGTTTCATCCGCCATATGTAAAGAATTAACTTAAAAAGGGAGGTTTTACGGGGGGGGAGATGCCATGTCTTTAGAAAACAAACTGCAGACAGACTTAAGTTTTGAATTGCCTCTAAATAATATTTTGACTGCAATTTTAATACATATAAATCCTCATGAGTAAAAAGGCACAGAAAAGTGAGGAGTGATGAATGGCTGCAAGAATTGCTAATATAAAGCTGGTACCTCTGATGAAACTATTTTTCGGGAGTACAGTAATATGCCAACACATGTCTGAGCACATCCATAAAATCATGATGGTCACAACCAGAGCAGAAACTGAATTTTGGCTTCTTCTTTTTCCCCACAACAGAAGGAATTTAAATTCCTCCACAGCGGTACATTTGTTAGGTCTCTAAGCAACATTTCTCTTGACTTTCTCCTCACATCACAAATAATATAATCAATATTTAGGAATTTGAGTCATGGGTCTACTTTTGTCAGGAGTAAACATTGCGTTATAAATATTCCAGGCTCTGTGTTGTCTTCCCTCTGTTGTAACTTTTAGCAGTGTTTGGCTGCCTTGTGCATATTATTTTCTCATATTCTTTTGTTTAATTTCTCTATTCCAGTCAAGGAAATGTATATAACACATGAGTTAAAACCCTGCTTTGTAAAAGCAAACAAACATTATGTTAAATTTTATCTTATAAAAGAAGAATGATCTTAAGCTGGTTTTAGAAATAATTGAAAGAAACCTCAAATGCAGAAACAGAATTAAGTTGCCTCCATGTTTTCTAGAATGTGAATGGAACATTATTCTCAATGAGACAAGTTGCATTTCTGCTGTCGGTATACAAATTTTAGTTTTAATGAAGATGACATTTCATTCTTTTAATGCCTCTTTTCTTTTTAGAAGCACAGAGTTTTGAATGTGAGCTTTAAACATTCAGTTATAAAGATTTGCATTAAATTAAAGATTGAGCCAGTGACCGAGTATAGATTTTGAGCCATCTTGAGTGGCAATATGGAATACGGATTTGTATAAAAATAAAATCCCCAATGTAACCAATGGTGAGAAGCAAAACGTGGTACAAGACAGCAAAGCATGCAAAATGCAGTTTTTCAATCAGCATTACATTTTGTGCATTTTATTATTATTTTTTTTAAATTCAGTTTAAAAAAACTTTATCCATGCCAAAAGAATATTAATTGCTTCGGTAACTCATTTTTTTTTCCTCAAACCAGATTCAGATGTTTATTAATTCAGTCAGATGGGATGGAGATATATTTTTGCAGAATTTGGAGGGTTCTGCAGGTCAGTTGGGCTGCTTTGCTAATCACAAATGATTTTGCTCCTGGTATTCACAGTTTTTGATCTTGCAGTTTTATCTTTTTCCAAAGTGTTTAACTCTAGAAAAGAAGGAGGATATTGGTTATAAAGCATGAGTTTAATACCCTTGCCCAGAATCCTCTATAGCAGCAACCCAAAGAATTGGCTGAATAGATTCAACGTAATATGTGTGACATATGCACATCAGACATCTGTCTGTATTGAATTTTTCTGTCAAACTTTTCAATTACTAACCTTTCTTGAAGAAGATTTATTAATAAATATAACTTTAGTTAAGTTTACATTTTAGAGCCTAAATGTTCTTAAACTATCAAGAATCTCAAACTGCTGCACCATCATAGTAGTCTCACAAACTGTTTTTCAATTTGTATTTAATCCATCCATTTTCTCCCTCTTAGTCCTTGTCAGGGTCGCGGTTGGGTCAATGCCTATCTCCAGTCTATGGGCGACAGACATACACCCTGGACAGATCGCCAGTCTGTTGCAGGGCACCACAGAGACACGCAAAGACACTCAACCATGCATACACACACTCATAACTACCGTAATTTCACTTTAGAGAAGCCAATTAACAGAGGGAATTCACACATGCACAGGGAGAACATGCAAACTCCATGCAGAAAGACCCTGGGCCAGGAATCAAACCCAGAACGTGCTGCAGTAAGGCAGTCCAGATGCAGAACAGATCAGTGACATGTTGTTTACCTTATGGGGGAGTGGTGGCCTAGTGGTTGGGGTACAAGGACAGTGCTACCCACTGCGTCACCGTGCAGCCCATATAATTATATTTCCGTTTAGTTCAGTTTTCTTTTCATAAAACTCTATTTGGACTGTGGCCAATTTGATTTACTGACAAATAGCCAGAGTGGCTAAAAAGTTTGGAACCCTTCAGTGTTTGGTAAACAAAGGTAACACCAAAACTTTAACACATTTTTAAAACTAATCCTACAACAAGAGGAAAGAGTATAACAAAAATACAGAAAACTCCAAACTTCAACAAGTATGCACTTTCCATTTCATCTGTTTTTTTTAACAGCAAGAAACTACATTTAAATGCTGTGTAATTTCCTTTTTTAACCATTCAGCTTCCAAACTATTTAAATGTAAGCATAATTCATCATCATTATTTAATTATTACCTTCTGCTTCAGTTCATTCATTTGGCAAATTATTCTAATTTTAGTTTTGTGCTGCTTTTCAGCACTGTTGTGCTGCATTTACATTCCAAACATTAGGTTATGCTTAATCTAAATATGCTATCAGCAGAAAAAGGAAATTAAATGAAAACAGATGGAAAGATTATTTAGATGAAGAATGACTAATAGTGAAAATAGAACATTGAGTGAAAAATGCATTTTAAAATACTGATTTTTAGAAAAACTGGACAGTTTTTGGCAGGAATCCTCCCAAAAGCATAAGAGTATCAGGAGCCTTCCAAATACAGAGCATAAAAACAAGACATTTGTTAAATGTTAGTCTGGTTGTTTTTTGTTCTAATGGCAAAAAATTATTTAGTTTTCCAATAACAAGGGATGCTTTTTATTCATACCTGCACTATCTGATCTAAAAAGTATGATAACATTAAAAAGGTAATTTCGACAAGGTACTAAAACTGCTTCTTCTGATGTCATTTAGAAGAAGGAGTCTAAACATTTAATAGTTAGAGTTTAAAGAGCACATTCTTTGCAACAAACATACTTTGCATAGTATTATCATTCAGGTTGTGCAAATCAAGCCAGATTTACTAAAATCTGTATGAAAAAGGGGACTATAAATGTATTAAAAATGTGTGAATTTTGTGTCATTTTGCAGCAAAGAGCTGAAACTGTTGTTCTTTAGCTGTAACTTATAATTAGCCTGTCATCTTTTTCCAGCTCTGTTAATTGTTGTGATGATGGTATAAGTGCTGCAGGTACTGAAGATATACACATTAGCAGTCAAAGTCATGCATGTAGACAGTTGTGACCATGGCTGATATTATTCTACAAAAAAAGGCGTGTTATTTTCTGCCAACTTAATGTGTAGGTGCACACAGATGAGGCCATAAGCCTTCCTAATTATAGACCGAATGAATGCAGAAAGTCACCTGACATCCAAACAGTTTTTAAGTTAAACCCTGCCTCAGTCTTTTTTCAAATAAACGTACAATCTAAAAAGAAGGATTTTCTTTCTATAGAAAGACAATAGTTGTTTTCTTTCTAAAGGTAAATATAGGCAATCTAATAGTTAACTGAAATGGGTATAGGTTTTAAAGTAAATGGTAATGTTATGTTGGAATAATATAAATTCCGTATATGAATTTATCTCCATTCTAACCACCTCTGTTGGGT